TTAATTAAATTGGATATTGATGGGACTAGTACTAATCCCGATTTTTCCACTTTAAATCAAAACTTAAAAAAAGTCTTACAAAAATTAATAAAACAAGGGCATAAAGTCTGTTTTACTACAGGACGAAATTATTTGTCAGCCTTGCCTTTTTATCAAGAAGTCGGCTTGGATACTTTTTTAGTTACCTACAACGGGGCTTATATTAATAATCCGGCGGATAAGGACAATAAAGAAATAGTAGTTTTTCATTCTATTAAAAATGACGTAGTGAAAGATATTTTAAATGAGCCGGTAGTTAAAAAAAATATTTGTAATGTGTTAATCGACCATGTTGACGGGTTAAATTCGGAAGGGGAAATAAATCTAAAAACCATTAGCACCAGTGATGATATTTATTATCAAGAGATATTTTTTAACGGCAATTCCTATACCAAAGGGGAAAATATTTTACAACTTTTAGGAAAAAAAGATGTTTTGCAATTAGTTTTGGAATTTCCCAAAGATGAAAAAAACTTTAACGAGATTTTATTAACTTTACGGAAAGAGTACAGTGACGCCATTACTTTTTATTTTGGCACTAAATTAAAAGCCAAAAATCCCGGGAACAAAATTCTGGTTCCCGACCCCGAAAGAAAGATAATAAAAATTCGGAACGAATTAGCCAGCAAAGGAATGGGAGCAAAATGAGTAGCCCGACAATACAAAATTAATTCCCATAACATTATTGCTTTTGGGAATGATGTTAACGATATAGAATTGGTACATAGTGTCGGTAAAGGGGTAATTACCGCGGACAGTGATAGTTATCTAAAAGCTTCGGCCAACTGATACGGAATAACTGATTTTGGTCTGCTTAATAGTGACGGAGTAGCTAAATATCTTACTCAATACTTCGATATTTACTAATTTTTTAATTATGTTAAATTGAATAGATAGATTTTTGACCACACTAGGCGGATTTTTAAGGCTATATATTTATCCTTTTGCTACGCCTTTTTTTGCTATCCTTAATTACCTTAAAATGAAAGATTTATTGATAAAAGATGATAAACCAAATTGAGCCAAGGCTTTCCTTATTGTATCGGTTATTTATTTTATTTTTGCTTTCGGTTTTGGGGTGTATTGACTAGTTAAGAATATTAAAAACCCTTCTCCTTCTTCTTAAAATATCTTTTATTATTATTTATTCATGCTTTCGTTTTCGTAGGTTTGTAGGCTATAAAATATAAACATAGGTAAAGGTAAATGTTTAAGCATGTTAACCATAAAATTATATATATGTACTGTTTAGTTATGAGTAAGCATAAGCATACATATGTATAAAATTTTTTTAAGAGAGAGAGAGAGAGAGAGAGAGAGAGCATTTTTTAATGAAGGTAATTAGCAATTCAAGTAAACAAAATCCAGCAAAAATTATATGAACTTAGATTCTTCTGCAATGAAAGGTGAAAAAGCTTTTCAAAGAATTAACGAAAAATTTAGACAATATTGAAAATGTCTGCTTATCTTAGTTATCATTTATATTGGTGCTTATTTAGCGTGAAGCAAAGGTCTTTCAATATGAATATTAGGACTTTTAGGAAAAAATAATTGAACCAAAAAAGACCGGGCGTTAATTATTATTGTAGCCGTAATTCAAGGACTTTTATTTGGTTTGGATGGTTGGGTTACTGCTTTGTTAAAATCACCTTTTCAACAAATGTGTTATGCGGTCAACATGACTAAGGAGATTAATAATGAGGATAAAGATTATATAATAACCAAGGCCACCGAATCTAATGAACACTGCAAAGAAACTCTGAAAAAATTTGGTATATTGACTATTACCGTGGAACTAGCCAAAGTTTTTATCAAACAAAGAAATTTGACTGAGGCGGCCAAAGACGAAAATGGACCGCATGCCAATTGGTTGAATTTAAGTTACCTTATTCCTTTAATATTTGCGGCACTGGCTATTTTTCTTATTTACCGAAGGCTGAAAAAAGTAAAAAAAAAGCTTAGTAAACTTTCTTCGCAATAAATTTCACCATTAATTCCTTAAAAAATACCATAATAAATGTTCCCAAGGATTAAATATTTAATTGGTCTATGAAAGCAAGACCGCTCGCGATTTTGACGAGAAACTAAATTATGATTCCTTTGACTTATTGGTTCGCCCTTTCGTTTAATGCGTCCCATTCAATGTCGCACCATCAAGGCGACTAAAAATTCTTTAATCGGACATTCATTTTATTTTTTTCATCCCCGAAGTTACAAAGTCCATAGCCCTTTAACCGGTTATATTGCCAAGATTTATGCTGATAATACCACCTTGCATATGGTGGGCGCCAAAGGTTTACAGGTTATTTTGACTATCAATTTTCAAACTACTAAACTTATTTCTATTTACGAAGCGGTAATTTGCCAAGTAAAAGAAAAGCAAAAAGTTAAAAGAGGGGATATTCTTTTTTTAGTTATTCACCAAAAGCAAATTTCTAGCGTGGCGGTAATGGTTCCTTGGCAACCTTTGCTTTTAGGAAAAGTGGTAAATAAACTGCCTCTCTTGGGGAAAGATTTTGCTAGTCTCTATTATCGTAATCCTTGAAGTAACCAACCAAGAATCAAAAAATTTGGGCAATATAATTATTAGTTTTTTAATTTTTCTTCCCTATTCAACTTTTTGTATAGAAAATGAAACTAAAAAAGTTCTGATTATTAAAAATTATATATAATAAAGTATAACAAGATTTTAATTTTAAACAATAACAAGCGAAATTAAAAACACGCTCAAGAAAACAAAAAAGAATTAAAACCTAGGAAACAAAAATTAAATTAATTTAAAAATTAAATAATATCTAAATGAGCGAAAAAGAAAAAAAAAAGCAAAAAGAAGAATATGGAGCGGAAAGCATTCAAGTTCTCGAAAACATTGAAGCGGTTCGTAAAAGACCGGGAATGTATATTGGCTCCACCGACGAACAAGGTTGACACCATTTAGCTTGGGAAGCCATTGATAATCCGGTTGATGAAGCCGTAGCCGGTCATTGCCAAAAAATTTGAATTACCCTTTCGGCAGATCAAACTACCATTACCGTTAAGGATGATGGACGGGGAATTCCAGTTGAAATCCACCCCAAAACTAAAATAAGTGTTTTAAGAACTATTTTTGAGATGCTTCATTCGGGAGGAAAATTCGATAACAAAGCTTATAAAACTTCCGGGGGGCTTCATGGAGTAGGAGTGACCGTGGTTAATGCCCTTTCTAAATCTTTACGAGTAGAGAGCAGTAGAGAAGAAAAAACTGAAACTATAATTT